CTGAACTAAAAAAGCTGAGAATACATCCTCCAACTCCTCTACTGGTTTAAATAAATCCTTTATAACTAATAGCTATTTAACATGGATTGACTCCATTCGGTGATTCTAATGTGGCAATGTAAGTGCTGGCATTGATAAAAGTGTTTTTTTAATTTCTTTTGATTTTTTTTGGTAATAATATAGAGGTAATTTTTTAATATAATTTTTATATATTATTAAATAAATTAATGTATATAATATTATGAGTCACAATTAAATAAAAAAATTAATTATTAAATAACACCTAAAGTGATATAAAAAAATTGTACAAAAAATTATTTTGGAATTTTTTTATATAATTTTTATATATTATTAAATAAATTAATGTATATAATATTATGAGTCACAATTAAATAAAAAAATCAATTATTAAATAACACCTAAAGTGATATAAAAAAATTGTACAAAAAAATTATTTTGGAATTATTTTTTTTTAATTTAGAGTTTTCAAAATTTTAGCGAGAACCAAAGATCCCCCTACATTAACATTTAGAACAAACAAAAAAGGAAGGAACAAACGGAGTCAGATCAATCGTTGAATTGTTAGTGTTGTTAGTCATAAAGAATTTACTTGCATTAGTTGAGGAAATAGAGGGCTTATTTGCATCATTTTTAATTTAGGGGTTTAAATATTGGTTTGAGATAAGTTTGGGGCCTAATAAGGGTTTTTGCCAAAAAAATGTCCGCTGTTAAAGTAATTTTTTTTCTACGGACAAATAAAATGGTTCTTCATTTTTGTTTTTTATTAATTTTTTTCATTTCAAAATAATTTTTATTATTTAATTTTAACTTTATTTTAAATTAATTTTTGGTTATTTTTTAAGATAAATAAATATTTTTTAATTTAATTATAATATTACTTATTTTAATTTAATTACAATATTATTTATTTTAATTATTTTGTTATAAAAAATTTTACTTTATTTTTATTTTTTAAAATAATATAAATAATTATTAATAAAAAAATAAAAATGAAACTTATTTTAAGATAAAAAGAATATATTTTAAGATGAGTAAACTAAATGACCACGAACAATTTTTTTATTAGTATTAGTAAAAAAATATTTTTTTGTTTAACAAAGACAAATACCTACTACTTTCATTAGATTTTTTGAGGATAAACTCCTATTTTGGTCCCTGAATTATTGTACGGACCCTTGATTTGGTCCCTGAACTAAAGAAATCCCTAATTTGGTCCTTAAACTATTGTACGAACCCTGAGTTGATCCCTAAACTATTGTACGGACTCCCAAGTTAGTTCCTAAACTATTATACGGATATCCAATTTGGTCCCTACTATTTACCAATTTAACCCCAACTTGGTCCTTCTGTTAAATAATAGTTGAAGGACCAAATTGGGGCGAAATTGTAAATAGTAAGGACCAAATTGGGGTCCATACAATAGTTTAATAACCAAATTAGGCCAAATTATAAACAGTGGGGACCAAATCATGGTCCGTACAATAGTTTAAGGACTAAATCAGGGATTTCTTTAGTTCAGGGACCAAATCGGGGGTCCGTATAATAGTTCAGGGACCAAAATGGGGATTTAACCATTTTTTTTAATAGGAGCTAGGGGAACGGGAGCTAGGGTTGAACAGTAAACACCTCAGGGGTGTTCCTCTTTATGGAGCAAAGTGGTTGCACTCCACCCATCAAGTGGAAAATGCTAAGTCAAGTGCATTGAGTAAAGGGATGAAAGGAGTTGGCCTTTCATTGTAACTTAAAATTCTTCAAAAAAAACTCCCTAAATTGTTTTATATTTCAATCTTTAAGAACAATTGCAAATTCAGGAAAAAAATAACAAGTATTGTAACATAAGTTAACGATTGCAGTAGATTTCATGAATTACTTAATAAACATATCTAATGTCTTAATAATAATTAAAATTTAAATTATAACACTAATATATTATAATTTTTCATTCTTTAATCTCAAATTATATTTGTTAAAAAAAATAGTTAATGAGTAGTATAGAATTATAAGTATGGACAAAACCATACCCATAGTTGGTGTGTCTCTTTCGAGTTTGAGTTTTGAATTTGAAAAAAAATATCTTTCAAGTGTACTCTTAAAAAATCTATGACATAATAAATAGTCTAAAAAATTCAACATCAATTCAGCCTTTAAAATGATTTTTTTTTTTAATTCTAGCTTGGCGTATTAGTATGCCAACTATTTACTTGTAAATGGAAAATGTGAATATTGACAAGAAGTTTATATTACTTTG